GAAGACAGTAGGACTATATACAGAAGATGAGGTAATCAGTCCCTCAACCTTGGAGTAGGTGCGAAGAGCACCGTAGTCGTGGAGATTCTGAAGCAGAAGCAAGGAGCCTGGCGCTTATATAGTAACGTCCTACTGTCTTCAAGTTATGTCCTAGAATTTGTATTGATAAAGCCACTGGATGGAGAAATGTCTACAATAAAGATACCCAGATGTTGCACATGTGTCTTAATTTCATCTTGTCGGTATTATATACCAGTCTTACATTACTGCTACTCCTCCTTTAGCTCTAACTCTATTTGAAACCCCTGACCTAATCCCATTTATTCCTCTCCACTGAAACTCTCCTACCCCCTTCAGCTTTGTTTCACTTAAAGCCAGGACATCCAGCTTCTTCTCATTCATAACATCCACAATCATCTCTTTCTTATCATTTACACAACATCCACGCACATTCAGACTTCCCACTTTGACAATTTTCTTCTTATTATTATTTTTAGTAATTATTACAGGAAAAGGGGTTACTAGCCCATTGTTCCCGGCATTTTAGTTGACTTTTACAACACTCATGGCTTACGGATGAAAGATTCTTATTCCACTTCCCCATGGATATAAAAGTAAAAGTAATAACGCCAAGAACTATTAAGAAAAAATCAAAGAAAACTCAGATGAGTGTGTATAAATAAACATGTACATGTATGTGTAGTGTGACCTAAGTGTAAGTAGAAGTAGCAAGACGTACCTGTAATCTTGCATATTTATGAGACAGACAAAAGACTCCAGCAATCCTACCATCATGTAAAACAATTACAGGCTTTCGTTTCACACTCACTTGGCAGGACGGTAGTACCCCCCTGGGTGGTTGCTGTCTACCAGCCTACTACCTATAAAAAAAAATATGAGATGTGGTAGCCAGACAACTTGTACAAGTGATGGCAAGAATAACATTTTCTTTAGTCCAACATCAGAGAAAATGTGTTACTGGGGGTAATTGTAGAAAATTATTCCTTTCGTATGTAAATAAGGAAGTTTATTCAGGTATACACAAATACAGTTACAGACTATCATACATAGCAGCATATGTGTAAAGTGCCTAGGATAACCCCAAAAAAGTCAGAGTGACTTATTTCCACTGCCTTCACTCAGAGCGTCATTTTTTCTAAAAATGGTGTTACATGAGAATGTGTGTGTTCCTCTTTATTTTTTCCACCGTATCAATGTTTACCTGGAGTTTACCTGGAGAGAGTTCCGGGGGTCAACGCCCCCACGGCCCGGTCTGTGACCAGGCCTCTTGTACACAATGTAACTTGTACACAAACCAGACGTGTATGCCTGGCTTGCTTACAAAACTTGCATTCGCCTGGTTTGTTTACATAACTCTGTGCCTGTCCTCTCTCATGTACTCATTCTCTCTCTCATTTATTCGTTTTATCTCGTTTACTCACCCCTGACCCTACATTAAGACTACAAATATTTTAAGTAATGAGTGAAATGTATATGCATTTAATCGCTCTGGGGTACTTATATATCACAGAATATTGTGTAGGTGGGGAGGCCTGGTATGGTAGCCTGGCTGGCTACCATACATACCACACCTGATTTCTTACAATAAATACTGTAATGTTGAAGGATCAGTTATGGAAGGAGAAAAGAGAATATGAATGTGTAAATTCAAGAATTATGTGGATTAAAGTAAAGGTTGGATGCGAAAAGTGGGTCATAATAAGCGTGTATGCACCTGGAGAAGAGAGGAATGTAGAGGAGAGAGAGAGATTTTGGGAGATGTTAAGTGAATGTATAGGAGCCTTTGAACCAAGTGAGAGAGTAATTGTGGTAGGGGACCTGAATGCTAAAGTAGGAGTAACTTTTAGAGAGGGTGTGTAGGTAAGTTTGGGGTGCCAGGTGTAAATGAAAATGGGAGCCCTTTGATTGAACTTTGTATAGAAAGGGGTTTAGTTATAGGTAATACATATTTTAAGAAAAAGAGGATAAATAAGCATACAAGATATGATGTAGGGCGAAATGACAGTAGTTTGTTGGATTATGTATTAGTAGATAAAAGACTGTTGAGCAGACTTCAGGATGTACATGTTTATAGAGGGGCCACAGATATATCAGATCACTTTCTAGTTGTAGCTACACTGAGAGTAAAAGGTAGATGGGATACAAGGAGAATAGAAGCATCAGGGAAGAGAGAGGTGAAGGTTTATAAACTAAAAGAGGAGGCAGTTAGGGTAAGATATAAACAGCTATTGGAGGATAGATGGGCTAATGAGAGCATAGGCAATGGGGTCAAAGAGGTATGAGGTAGGTTTAAAAATGAAGTGTTAGAGTGTTCAGCAGAACTTTGTGGTTACAGGAAAGTGGGTGCGGGAGGGAAGAGGAGCAATTCGTGGAATGATGATGTAAAGAGAGTAGTAAGGGAGAAAAAGTTAGCATATGAGAAGTTTTTACAAAGTAGAAGTGATGCAAGGAGGGAAGAGTATATGGAGAAAAAGAGAGAGGTTAAGAGTGGTGATGCAATGTAAAAAGAGAGCAAATGAGAGAGTGGGTGAGATGTTATCAACAAATTTTGTTGAAAATAAGAAAAAGTTTTGGAGTGAGATTAACAAGTTAAGGAAGCCTAGAGATCAAATGGATTTGTCAGTTAAAAATAGGAGAGGAGAGTTATAAAATGGAGAGTTAGAGGTATTGGGAAGATGGAGGGAATATTTTGAGGAATTGTTAAATGTTGATGAAGATAGGGAAGCTGTGATTTCATGTATAGGGCAAGGAGGAATAACATCTTGAAGGAGTGAGGAAGAGCCAGTTGTGAGTGTGGGGGAAGTTTGTGAGGCAGTAGGTAAAATGAAAGGGGGTAAGGCAGCTGGAATTGATGGGATAAAGATAGAAATGTTAAAAGCAGGTGGGGATATAGTTTTGGAGTGGTTGGTGCAATTATTTAATAAATGTACTGAAGAGGGTAAGGTACCTAGGGATTGGCAGAGAGCATGCATAGTTCCTTCGTATAAAGGCAAAGGGGACAAAAGAGAGTGCAAAAATTACAGGGGGAGAAGTCTGTTGAGTATACCTGGTAAAGTGTATGGTAGAGTTATTATTGAAAGAATTAAGAGTAAGACGGAGAATAGGATAGCAGATGAACAAGGAGGCTTTAGGAAAGGTAGGGGATGTGTGGACCAGTTGTTTACAGTGAAACATATAAGTGAACAGTATTTAGATAAGGCTAAAGAGGTCTTTGTGGCATTTATGGATTTGGAAAAGGCATATGACAGGGTGGATAGGGGAGCAATGTGGCAGATGGTGCAGGTATATGGTTTAGGAGGTAGGTTACTGAAAGCAGTGAAGAGTTTTTACGAGGATAGTGAGGCTCAAGTTAGAGTATGTAGGAAAGAGGGAAATTATTTCCCAGTAAAAGTAGGCCTTAGACAAGGATGTGTGATGTCACCGTGGTTGTTTAATATATTTATAGATGGGGTTGTAAGAGAAGTAAATGCGAGGGTCTTGGCAAGAGGTGTGGAGTTAAAAGATAAAGAATCACACATAAGGTGGGAGTTGTCACAGTTGCTCTTTGCTGATTAGTGCTCTTGCGAGATTCTGAAGAGAAGCTGCAGAGGTTGGTGGATGAATTTGGTAGGATGTGCAAAAGAAGAAAATTAAAAGTGAATACAGGCAAGAGTAAGGTAATGAGGATAACAAAAAGATTAGGTGATGAAAGATTGGATATCAGATTGGGGGGAGAGAGTATGGAGGAGGTGAATGTATTCAGATATTTGGGAGTGGACGTGTCAGCGGATGGGTCTATGAAAGATGAGGAGAATCATAGAATTGATGAGGGGAAAAGGGTGAGTGGTGCACTTAGGAGTCTGTGGAGACAAAGAACTTTGTCCTTGGAGGCAAAGAGGGGAATGTATGAGAGTATAGTTTTAACAACGCTCTTATATGGGTGTGAAGCGTGGGTGATGAATGTTGCAGCGAGGAGAAGGCTAGAGGCAGTGGAGATGTCATGTATGAGGGCAATGTGTGGTGTGAATATAATGCAGAGAATTCGTAGTTTGGAAGTTAGGAGGAGGTGCGGGATTACCAAAACTGTTGTCCAGAGGGCGGAGGAAGGGTTGTTGAGGTGGTTCGGACATGTAGAGAGAATGGAGCGAAACAGAGTGACTTCAAGAGTGTATCAGTCTGTAGTGGAAGGAAGGCGGGGTAGGGGTCGGCCTAGGAAAGGTTGGAGGGAGGGGGTAAAGGAGGTTTTGTGTGCGAGGGGCTTGGACATCCGGCAGGCATGCGTGAGCCTGTTTGATAGAAGTGAATGGAGACAAATGGTTTTTAATACTTGACGTGCTGTTGGAGTGTGAGCAAAGTAACATTTATGAAGGGGTTCAGGAAACCGGCAGGCCGAACTTGAGTCCTGGAGATGGGAAGTACAGTGCCTGCACTCTGAAGGAGGGGTGTTAATGTTGCAGTTTAAAAACTGTAGTGTAAAGCACCCTTCTGGCAAGACAGTGATGGAGTGAATGATGGTGAAAGTTTTTCTTTTTCGGGCCACCCTGCCTTGGTGGGAATAGGCCAGTGTGATAATATAATATAATATAAATACTGCTCTTCTCACCCTAGATTAAGACTACAAATATTTTAAGGTAAGTAATGAGTGTACTAAAGTATGTGTATTTTACTTTTTTATTGTTTTTAATGCCTAGTTCTATTGCTAACTTAATATATGTTAGTGTAAACTTGTTATCTAGTATTTGTATACATTTATAAATGGAAAAAAAGTGTGTTCCACTTTACGGCGATTTCCGCTTTACGGCGGTAGCCTAGAAGCTAACCTGCCGTACAAGTGGGGCCCTACTGTATATCGTGAAAGGATGTGCAAGATCCACTTAATGAGGTTACAAACTTTACTAGTAAGTAAATTAAACAAGAATTAAGAATTATTAACAATGCATCTCTTATTTCTAGTCCCTCAACTTTACATTTTATTAAAAACATTTTCTTATAAAACTTACATATTTAAGTATAATTTCTCCAATGCTTGCATCATCAGTCCAATTGTGTGCTAGATGGAGTAAATCATTACGCATTCTTGTGTGAACTTCATGAATTGGTGGCACATTGCCAAAGATGTATCGCAGCTCTTGAGCATCTAACATGGGACCTCCTGGCTGTGATGTGTTTTCAAGCGGCAATTTTATAACCTGCAGTGCATATCAAGGGAAAGTACATCACAAAATACTGTATAACATATGCCAGTTTTAAGGACATTTTGTATTTATGAAGTCTAAATAATTAATTATATATCAATAACAGTTTTTCATAACTGTTAAGAAGTAATGACAATGCTTGCTTGCAATTAATGAAATATAAATATCATATCTTAACTTACCTTTTCTACTGCATCTAGAATACTGACATAATTGCATTCAGTTTTAACTAATTCATGGAATACACGCTGTCTTGCAGAAAGTTGACGAAGATCAACAAGAGGAGGACTAAGGGGAGTCTGGTCACCACTGAAGAAAATGACATTTTTTAAACAGTATTGCGAAGATTATGTATAATGTGAAACAAATGAATACAAATAAATGTAATTTTTTACATAAATTAAAAGATTTTCCAAAATAATGGCCACAAAACATACTGGAAAAGTTAACAAGGTAAATATGAGAAAAAACAGAATATTAGAGGTTTTGCAGTAATGTGACGCATCAACCAACTGATGCGTGTCAGTCACACTGGATGTGGCTGCTGCTCAAACTTGGATATGTGATTAACTCATGGTTTGTTATTACTTGGTGAACAATATCTATCTACACTATAAAAGCCTTCACATACCAGTAATGTACTTCATTAGGGGCTGAGTAAGAAGTCTCTGTTAGTGGCAAGAACATGGGGCTGGTAGAAAATACACGTATAGCACAGGTAGATCTTTTATAATTGTTATAATTAAAAAAAGCGCTAAACCACAAGGGTTATACAGCGCAGGGAAGGATGCAGGGGTAATGGGTAGCAAGAAGAAGAGGGATTATTATTAGGTTATGAAGTGCAGCAGGGCAGCGGATAGTGAAGGGGTAGAGGGTAACTAGAGATTAAGGTAGAAAGGACTGAGGAGAGTGCTAGAGACATCATCATCAGTTTGTGTAGTAAATCAGTTGCTGTCAAAAAGTCAATGAGAGAGTCTGGATTAAAGGAGGGTCTGTCAGCAAGAAGGGAAAGTAAAGAAAGGGCAGCAGAGCAGAGACAACGTTGGAGGTAAATTCTGCGTGCTCGTTGATAAAGTGGGCAGTTCAACAGAATGTGGCTAACAGATACTGGGACTTGACAATTCTCACTGAGAGGAACAGGACACCTCTCCATGAGATACCCATGAGTAAGACGAGTGTGGCCAATGCGAAGACGGGAGAGAGTAGTCTCCCAACCTCGACACTGATGACAAGACGACGGCCAGAAACCTATACACAGTTTAACAGCATGAAGTTTGTTATGGAGCAGATCAGACCAACATTGTTGCCAACTGATGCAAAGATGGGTAGCAATTACAGCAAAATAGTCCATATATGGAACACCTCTATATGAATCTGGGAGGTCATGTACTGCTGACCGTGCAGCAGTGTCTGCCTGTTCATTGCCCAGTATGTCAATATGACCAGGGACCAACAAAAAACAATATCTGTGTGTTTGCTAGAGATACGGCATAACCAAAGTTGGATACGAAAAACTAGGGAGTGAGGTGTATCAAATTTCCATATAGCCTGTAAAGCACTAAGGGAATCTGAAACAACCACAAATGGTGACACAAGCATAGATGCAATACAGATAAGTGCTACAAGAATGGCATACAATTCAGCCGTAAAAATGCTAACCGAGGGTAATAAATGCCCTCGCATGACACTGTCTGGAAACACTGTTGCAAATCTGATGCCATCAGAAGACTTAGAACCATCGGTGTACATCCTGATGGCACGAGAATGAGAGCAGAAGTGGTCAAGAAGAAGAGAGCGGGAAGTCACCGTAGGTAGTTGGGCTTTCGCGCATGGAAGTGAGAAAGAACAGACACGAACAGCTGGAACTTCCCAAGGGAGCAGGGAAAAGTGAGACGCTTCATGAACAGAGAGAGGTGGTAACTGAAGAGAAGACGAGCGAATGTAGGCGGAGAGGAAAGGGACGGAGTAAACAGGGGCAACGAACAAATAAAGAACATCTACTACATCAGTAACTATTCTATATACGGAAGGATTGTAGAGGTCATGAGATTGAACATAACAAAGGCAATGAGCCTCACGGCAATCAGACAAGGATGGAAAATTCGCTTCTGCATAGAGGCTCTCAACAGGGGATGAACGGAGACCTTGGTGATGTATAGGATCTAACTTAGACAGAGTTGCGGGAGAGGCTGCAGAATAGATTTGGTCATCATAATCTAGCTTGGGCAAAACTAGGGTGGAATGCAAACGGAGGAGAGTGGGACGATCCGCCCTCCATGAACGATGTGTGAGAACCTTAAGGAGATTTAGCCGACCGTGGCAAGTTGTCTTTAATGAAGAAATGTGAGGTCTCCACATCAGCTGGTGATCAAAGAGCAGACCCAGAAACCTGACTGTATCGCGTGCCGGAATACATGAGCCATGTAAGTACAGTGGACCCCCGGTTAACGATATTTTTTCACTCCAGAAGTATGTTCAGGTGCCAGTACTGACCGAATTTGTTCCCATAAGAAATATTGTGAAGTAGATTAGTCCATTTCAGACCCCCAAACATACATGTACAAACCCACTTACATAAATACACTTACATAATTGGTCGCATTCGGAGGTAATCGTTATGCGGGGGTCCACTGTACAAGGGAGTATCCTGTATAAGCGGGCGTCTAGTGAAGTTAATGAATCAGGTTTTCGTACTGGAAAATTTAAAGCCATGAGAAGTGGTCCAATGGGAGACTCGGTCTATCACAAACTGAAGAGAGGCTGCTACTAGTCAGTGCTCGAGTAAGCTACAGTGAAGCCATCAACATAAAGTGATGACCAAATATGCGAAAAAAGAATGGAAGGCAGGTCATTTATAGCTAAGACAAAAATAGTAGTACTGAGGATGCAACCTTGTGGGACTCCTTTGGCTTGTACAAAGTCCGAGGAAAGCGAGGCGCCAATATGGACCTGAAAATGTCTATCGGAAAAAAAGCAGCGATGAACTTTGGTAGATTACCGCGGAGGCCTAAGGAGTGGGCTTGGGCTTGAATGTTATACCTCCAAGTGGTGTCATATGCCTTCTCTAGATCAAAAAAGAAAGCTAGGACAGAGTGGTTGTCAACAAAGGCATTTCAAATATACATATCAAAGTGGAGCAACGGGTCTAAAGTAGAGCGGCCTTTGCAAAAGCCATACTGACGAGGGGAAAGGCGGTTGTGTGTGTCTAAGAACCACATCAGACGTCTATTCACCTATCGTTCTATCACCTTGCAGACCACACTGGTCAGGGAAATGGGATGATAGTGAGAGGTGACAAGCTCTGAAGTGCCTGGTTTGCAAAACAGTAGTATAATAGCCGATTTCCAGTGTTGTGGGAGAACCCCTCGCTCCCAAATTAGATTGAAAAGACGTAAAAGAACGGGAAGGGCCATAGACTGGAGATGGTGTAGCATACTGATGTGGATATCATCAGGTCCCGGTGCCGACGGCCGGCACATGAAAAGCATGGACTCTAATTCTAGAAGAGTAAAAGGTATGTTATACGGCTCCAATCCATCGGAGGAGAAATCTATGGGCAATTGCTCTTTGGTAGGTTTAGATGCAAGAAATGAGGGACAGAGGTGAAGCCCTCAGAAGATACAGACAAGATAGTTCCCAATTTCTGTGGCAACTTCTAAAGGTTCTGCGACATCAACTCCAGCAACCCGCAAAATGGGAGCTGGGTCCGGAGTGTACTTACTGCACAATTTCCACACCTTTTTCTAAATCACGCACATAGGGAAAGACGAGGTAATGGTAGACACGTAGTCTCACCAACAAGCATGTTTAGCGTCGCATATGATGTGGCGAGCAACTGCCCTTGCCCGCTTAAAGTCCAACAGATGCTCCGCGGTACAGTTATATTGATAACGGCCCCACGCAGCTCATTTTAAATACACTGTGCGGGTGCATGTAGAAGACCACCAAGGTACGCATGTCTGAGAATGCCTACCTGAGATTTGGGGGATAGAACGAGTTGCCACAGTCAGGACTAAGGTTGAAAATTGGTGTGCCAGTTCATCAATAGATGACGAAAGGGGGTCCTCACAACAGGTGGTAAGATGGGAGTACAAGTCCCAATCTCCTTGAGCAAAGTCCCAATCTCCTCGAGCAAATTGCCAACGAGGGTTACAAAACGGTCAGGTATATGTAGTAGAAGTAAGAAGGATAGGAAAGTGATCACTATCATTGCACTTGATTTCACATGTGAAATCAAGTGCAATGAGCGAAAAACAGAGAGAAAGATCAATGCAGGAGAGAGACTGAGTGCAAGTCAAAATGGGTAGGAGCACCTGTATTTAAAACAGGAAGAGGATGAGAAGCGAGAAAAGTCTCCAACTGATCACCACGAGAGTTGCAGTGGGACCCTCCCCACAGGTGACGGCGAGCATTAAAATCACTCAACAACATGATGGGTGGTGGTAGAGAAAAAATTACAAACATGATGTCAGAGATACAGAATGCACTGGAGGGAGAAAAATAGAGAGCGCAAACTGTAAACCATCTGTGTAAATAAATCCAAGCTGCAGTATAATGCAGCAGGGAGCAAATAAAATCTTGGTGATACGGTATATCAACGCGCACAAGAAGCACGCTTTCATTAAATGATTCGTCAGGTAGAGGATCTGAAGAATGTAACAGCACATAGCCTGAAACGGGGCGAATGACAGCAGAAAGAATTTTGGGCTCTTGCAACCCAACACATACACTGGGGACAACTGGGAGAGCAACACTTGGAGCTCTGCTGGATTGTCCCTAAGGCCATGAATATTCCATTGTAAAAAAGACATTATGTACAGAAATAAAACTGGCAACAATAAGAAATGATAAAACTTATGGGCTTTTAGGATCTGTAAAGTCAATGTGCGGGGGTAATGGTAAGCATGTAAGCAAGGAAGAATGTGAATGTTGCTGAGGAATAGTGTGTTGCAAAGGTCGCAAAATAGAATAGTTAGGAGGAGTCACACTGGTGTCCATCGGGGGTGTCGTCTCTGCAATATAGCTGGAGATAGTGCCTAACGTCTCCGTTGTTAAGGAAGCTGACGATACCACAATGTCAGAGACAGGAGAGGCATTGCAAGGAAAGGTTGGAGTAACTATGGAGGCAACTAAAGAGGTAGGTCTGAGGTGGGGGGGGGAGGGGGGGGAGTATGAATCTGGAGACATGCGCCGGCTGGGGTAGAAGAGGCCTGCAGTGTAACAGGAGAGGAAGGAGGTTGGAGGTTAACTATGGAGGAAGACCAGGAGGGGGGAGAGGGAACTACACAAAGGGGGGTGGCCCTCTACCA